GGGAAGTACAGTAGGAGGGAGTTCCGGGGGAGGAGCTCTCTCTGCGGGTCCGGGAGGAGGCCGCGTGGGTGGAAAAAATCTTCCCGGGCGCATACCGGACATTGGCGGCAGTTTCAAAAAATAAACTTTGTTCCTGCTTGAGTGGCTCGTGATTTTGTGCCCAGCCAGACTGCGGCATACAAGTGTTATTCACTGATGCTGCAATTAAAACCCATAGGCTGCTGGATTATTAGTAAGAAGAAGGGCAATGTCCCAAAACTGCCAGGTTGGAAAACTTTTCCAGAAACCCTCTCAGAGTACTTAAAGGCTGGTTTCCTCAGCCTTAATTGAACACCATAGTAGACTGGAGTAGTGTAGTTCAATGTAACAAATAATTACATGGGATCATTTCTGTGCCTAACTAGCATTAACTGTGAGTGAGACATAGGTGAGCAAGACAACCAACACCTTCATCTTCTTTCAAAACCAAGGTGTGCTTTCCAAATCAGAGACAATCTCTGGTCTCTCATTTTTCCATTGCCACTGGTATTGCCTTCATCTCTTTATATCTGCATAAGTTTCACATGTCACTATCAAACCAATTTCTTTGACGTTCACTTTGATTAACTACTCTCATGCCCCCAAATTTTCATTGGCTTCCCACTGATTATGAAGCAAGTCCAAATCTTTCTTTTTGACATTCAAATCTTACTATAATCTGACTCCAATCTCTATTTCTACCTTTACCTCCTACTACTCCCTTTAGGAATGTTGGGTTCCTCTCAGACTGATCTGTTCTCAAATATTCCAATTTATATTCTTTAATACAATGCTGGAACAAAAAAAAAAAATGATATAGTTCGGAGGCTCTCTTCAGTAACAATGACCCAACCTTTCAACTTACTAATAATTAAGCTGAGGCCCACAGATTTCCATGGAGTTAGTAATATACCCAAAATTTTCTACAAAAATTTATTGGTGCATCATAATCATATATAATAATGGAATTCACTGACACACTCATATCATCAATGTGCCCATTTATTTACATAGAGAACACTCTTCTATTTTCTTTGTATTATTATCATCATCATCATCATCATCATCATCGCATCAGAGACTGAACCCAAGGGTGCTTAACCACTAAGCCACATCCCCGGCCCTGCCTCCCTTTTCTTGAGACAGGGTCACACTAAGTTGCTTAGGACCTTGCTAAATTGCTGAGGCTGGCTTTCAACTTGTCATCCTTCTGCCTCAGCTTCCCTAGCTTTGGAATTATAGTTGTGTGCTGCTGCACCCAGCTTGCATCTTCTATTTTTGGTTTTATTTTTAAATTATACAGTTGATACAGGAACATATTTGCCTTGTAAAATGTTGAAATAGAGAAAAAGGAAGAAGACTCAATTGATTATAATGTGAGATGAGAGAAGAAATATCACTATCATTCCTACATAAGGATTAAATGGGCATACTATGAACAATGGTATGCTGGAAATTAGTTAAAATGATGAAATGAACAAGATCCTAGAAAGACATAAATTACTGAAAAATGACTCAAGAAGAAATAGAAATTTTGCACAGGACAATAAAAAGTAAAGACTTTGAATGAATGAGAAAATCTCCCATATGAGGGAAAAAACATGATACAGAATCACAGACGGCTTCACTCATGAACTCTACCAAACATTTAAAAAACAATTAACAATAATCTTTCACAGATTCCTCTGAAAATTAAACGTAGAACTCTTCAACAGAATACTAGCAACCTAAACCAAGCAACATAAAAAAATTCCATCTTACCAGACAGAATTGATCTTAGAAATGCAAGATTGATTGAACATATGAAAATCAATGTAATAATGAAATAAAGGTTACAAAACACCACATAATAGTCTCAATAGACACAGAAAAAGCATTTAAAAAATTCAGCACTCATTTATAATAAAAAAGACAGAAAATAGTGTTTTGAGGGAACTTCCTCAAAATGATAATAGACATTTATGAAAAACCATAAAATCATTCCTAATGGTGAAAGAATGAATGCTTTCATTGTATACAATCAAGAACAAGACAAGGATATCTGCTTTCATCACTTCTATTCAACCTTGTACTGGGGGTTCTAGCCAATAAAACTGGACAGGAAAAGTAAAGAAAAGGCTTTCAAGATTGGGCAGAAAGCAAGACTTCTTTAAAGTGCAAGAAGTAAAATCAAGAATCAATAAATGGGGGCTGGAGTTGTTGCTAAGTGGCAGAGTGCTTGCCTAGGACATTCAATCTTCAGCACAACATAATAATAAATAAATAAATAAATTGAAGGT